GGGGCGGGGCAGGGCCCGACTGAGTGGAGCGGTGGAGGGGAGGGAGCGGTGGTGAGGGGCGGGCGGGGCGCCGCTCCATTTGAAAAGCGAGACCGGCCGGCTGCGGTTACAGTGCTGATGGGGCGCGACGCGGGTGTTGCTGCGTCGGCTGCGACCGCTCTTTAAGATAGCCCTCGCGCCGGAAGCTGTCTTGGATGTAAATGGGCGAGCTTAAGCCCAGCATGCCGCCCAAGCATTCTCTTGCTTCGTTTTAGTTCCCATTTACATAAAGTTCAAATCGGGTTTCAATTCAATTTCTACGAATACACGTAGGCGCGTTTCCCAATCTCTGACGCCGTTCGTGTCAAGATGACGATTCCAGCCAATATACTACCACTAGAGAGCCATTTCAGGACGTAAAAATATACGTCACAGTGTTTTCCTCGGTTAATCAACAAATATTTCCTAGGGCATTTCGCTGAGAAATGTTTCGTTTCTGTACAGCTGTTTCTCGATGTTTCCTGTATATCTATAACAACCAGGCGATTCGTATTGTGTTCGTAATGAGTCGAAACTCTGAAAATAGTTCTGTGTATTTTCGAAGAAAGAATATTCTTTTAGACAAAGAAAGAAAAACAACTGAATTGCGGAATCGAGGATCAAATTACGACAGTCCTGGATCGCTAGCGGCCCTGCGATCGGATTCAATTTTATGTCGTCGGAATTCCAATGCACTCGTGTTTACAAATGATAGAAATGCAGAGACGGCTACGACAGAGAGTCGATAGAAACACTGACCAGGACTATTAGAATTGTTTTCCAATGCACTCTTTAAAATAAGCTATGTACGGAACACTAGCTATCATGTAACCGCTGTCCTCAATTCGAAGACATCCGTACAATTCATAATCCCCACTTCGGTTTCACTGGCTAGGGGAGCTAGCTTGGTGCGCTCAACTTGTTCGGAGACATGCAAACAAAGATATGGGTACCTGTAAGGGCTCGAATCGCAACACGGGTATTGCTAACGGCATCTCGTGAGAGGCGCAGCGCAGCTGAGATGAAGCATTCTACATCAGCGCTCTTTGTTGATCGATTGATGAACTTACATTATTTCTTACACACGTTCGGTAGTACATAGTATTCCCCACAGGTGGCGCCTCAATCACCGTTAAAAATATTTGACCGTGTGCAATCCTCTTGTTTTATCATTTATCTCACAAAAATGCAGTAATGACCTCCAGAGTCTACAACAGTACAGGCTTTGACAAAATCAAAAAAATTGCCGAAAACACACACACCCTGCAGGAATCAACCCTTCTGAGTGGGAATTAGTAAAGGAATTATTTATTGCACATGTTATAACTCATTAGTGTGTTTTTCCATACCTAAAATGACTCACCCTGTGGTATGCTTCCTCTAAAACTAGCAAGCATCTTGAGTTACGCGTTAGCAAAAGATGAAAATGTAAATATCAGTGGTCCACATTCGAAATAAGATATTCTCAATAGAGAAAATCATGGATAGCTACGTCAAAATAACAACTAATTTCTTTCAAGAATTAGGAAATCAGACTACGAATAATTACATGCACCCGTTAAATATTAATCAACACTCAGGTTTTCAACTTGATTATAAGACTCATGGTACACTGAATCTGATGAATAACTGCATCCCTTATTTCAAAATATTGTCCTGCTATCGTTCTTTATCCCCAATATTTATACAAAAAATTCCTAAGTCCGCCTACGCCCATCACAAAAAGAACACTAAACTAAATAAAGCGAAGAGGTAGGAACTCACCAGGTGTTCTTGACAACTAACTGTTGAATAACTACATCCCTCATTTCAAAATATTGTCCTGCCTGCGTTCTTTATCCCCAATTTTCGTAGTACAAAATTCCAAAGTCTGGTGACGCCCACCACCAAAAGAGTCTACTAAAAGAAAAACTCACCAGGTGTTCGCCAGAGAGCACCTCCAGCAGCGAGATGAGATTGTGGCCGTCGCGCAGGTCCTCGAAGAGATCCCCGACATGGCGGCTGGCCTGCGACAGAGAACATCTGATAAGCAATCTATGCGGACACACACACACACACACAGCGGCTCAGCGAAGCACAAGCGGCATAGCGGCGCCTCGCCCTCAGGCTACGGTTCACTCCACACACTTGCACGCGACAGTTTTACAGTACATACATTGAGAGAGTTACGCATTACATACAGCGAATGGTGTTTTCTGTTGAAGCATGCGCTTACGTAAAAAAAAAGAAGAAAAAAGAAGATAAACCATATTTACTTCAAATAAGTACCGAATAAAAGAAACTCCATGCAAACTCGGTACCCATAAAAAATACTAATCTTACTGAATTAACTAATATTAACTAATTAAAATACTAAATATCATATTACTCGATGAAAAATTAGGTTGATGATGTACATATCATTAAGAATAACATATTGTTAGTCATAAATTGTTTTGTAATTCCAACTAGTTTAGACACACGACAATATTCGCGTAAGAATGTATTATACGAATATACATACAATTTGTGTATGATATTACAGAAAATATGCAGCGAGTGTTGCATTTATATGAACATGAGAAAAGCATTTCAGGTGTAGTCTACCAGACAAAGTACACAGGACATTAATTAATTCTTCGCATTGTAAAAAAAATCGCCTTTTACGTCGAACAACAGAAGAATACAAAGAAAAAGAATATAAAGAAACGAAAACCAATGTTGTGAAAGCATTTTGCCAAACCCATGCAACGTTTCGAGGGTCTTCCAATAAAATTAACCCCAAGTTCCAGCTGTCATTGTACATTTATTGCGCATGTCCAATTAAGAAGAATCCAGCGAAAGGTATTGAAGGCGCAAAAAGAAAGCGATTGAGGGACAAATTAATTAGCAACGTAGTTGATTTAAATAGTTACCAAAACAAAGACAAAAAATGCCAATGTGTTCATTCCGCTTTGAAGGCACACGTTAACAAATGCAAGCGAATGCGCAACATTAAATTAAACCACGACAGGCTGCTCAGCGCCTTCGGATCAACTCCAAGAAAGCGAATAAAAAATTTAAAAAAAGCATCGCGGTTTCCGTGTGTGTCAATTAGGGTGCGGCGTATGAATACTAATGGGAGCGCAGCCTCCAGCCGTGGGCCAAGGGAGGATGCATCACAGAGCAGAGGCGCATCTCGGGCGACAGGTGAAGTGCATGATGTCAGCGCAGTGCGAAAGGGCAGCTTCCCACGGGAGGCACTCCCGATGGTGGAGACTATTAGTGGTGGTGGCGGTGGTAGAGGGGGGTGGTGGTGGAGAAGGGCTGCGGGTGGAGGAAGAGAAGGGGGTGGAGGAAGAGGGGGTTGAGGA